CTGGGAGCTGCTGGTTCTTGGTGCTGAATTTGGTAATGAAGTGAGGAATAAGATAAACTGGGGTTTGTTTTAACGAGCCTGCCAGAGGGCTTCGTGCATGGTGTGCAGCCCCTCAGTGAAGCCAGGCGCCTTGTCCCTGTGGCGGGTCTGAGAGGCTGGCAGGCTCCCGTGTACACAGGATGCGAGTGTGCCGCAGGTGAGTGGGAGAAATAAATAACAGTTAGCAAAATTAGAGCGCAGGGAGGCGTTTCAAATACAGTGGAGAGTTAGAGGTGGGGGGCTACTGCTTCACTCAGAGAAGCTCTGCGACGTTGAAACCTCTTCCACCAGGAAGAGCCAGGTTGTGCGTCGTTGCTTACCTGCATCTCAAGGGAACACCAAAGCCAGGGCTTGTCCTCAGGGCTGCCTGTCCTCCCCCGGCTGCAGAGCTGTGTCATCCCCTCGGCCATCTCCTTGTGTCACTTGGCCTGGGCCCTGGTCCAGAGGGCTGCCGCCACGGCCGCCATGCTGGCAGCTCCCTGCTGGGCCCTGGGAGGCAGCAGGCTTCCCCAGCCTGCCTCAGGATTCGGGAGCGGGAGCAGAGGATGGTTTGCAGCCAGTATGAGGATGTCACACTCACTCAAAAGCAAAACCCGAGGAGCAAAAAAGGAAGACCGAAAGTTGCAACAGACCTTGCTCCCTGTCCGATGTGACTTGCTCATTTTGTCTGCCAGTTAGTTTTGCTTTTTACAGGAGGAAGGCTTGGATTACTTTTTCACTGGCAACATTGCCATAGGTGAGAAGAAACGTGGGCTGGAGGAGCAGGTGGGCACAGGGAAGCCAGGGAGCGAAGGATTGGTGGCAGCAAAATGCAGGGGAGATAAAGCAGAAAAAAAGCCAAAGATACTGACAAAGCCAAAAGGCTCTGGTGTCGCCCCTGCATTCGAAAAGAATAGATGAAAAAATGAAAGGTTTTTTCTTCCTGAGTACTTACGGATAAGGACCAACTCATTAATTTTTGTGATTAATTCACTTAGTGAAGAGTGCAATAAAGAGACTTGAAATTACTACTTCCACACTGCTGATATTTTCTCATATTTAGAACCATATGTTGATGAAATGGCTATTAATGAAGTATCTAACAAATATGAAATGACGTAAAGTCATTTTGCAGTGGTACCCAGAGTGGCCTTTACATCTGTAAGATTACGCTTATCCTAAAAAAGCATCTACAGGAAAAAAAAAAAAAGTTACAGCTGCTGTGGGAAGCATAATTCCCAATTACCAGACTTTTATTCATTTAGGCTATATGACCTGAGCTGATTTATGTACTTATAAACAGCCTTGATGGTTGGCAATGAGTTTGTCCTCACAGATGGTCTTGTGGGACTACAGCCTGATGTGGTACCAGCGAGAAGGAAAGACTACAAATGAGAAAGCTACAAATATGTATTTTTAAAGCTGTAGCTTCTTTACTTTATTTCCACTTCAATGGAAAACCTAAACTTTTCACCCTACCACAAAATAGGGCAGTGTGTTGGGTTAAATGCACTAAAGGTGACTAAGCAATGCCAAGTAAAGATTCCCATCAAGTCATTATACAAAGCCCTTTTTTTCAACTAGTACCAAAGCCACTTTTGTTTTTTTTCTTTTTTTCTAAAGAGGAAAGAGAAGTCCTCATACACCAAACATTCTGGTAGCATAGTCTAAAAGATCTCTTAACATAAATGCTTTTTCAGCTGTGAGAAGTACGTGTGTCACTCTCCAGACTGTAACATTAAATTCTTAGCCACCACAAGGGGTTTTTTATGCTAAACTTAGTCCCTGGTGCTATGACAGTGCTGAGTTCCCCTTACACCCAACACAGTATCTAGCACAACTGAGACCCAGTTTGGGTGAGGAATATTGCCATAGTGAAGACCAACAGAAAAAAAGGTAATTCAAATGAAGAGCAACTTTGACATTCACATACCTTTGGGGGGAATTTGAAGCAAGTTATTTTAGAGCTTCTGCTTTACTGTGCAAAAATCAAAGAAGTTGGAGAAGGTTTGAAGAAGTGTGAAATGGGAAGGACTTTTTTGTTACTTTTAAGAGAAAGAAGGTTGGGTACTGGGATATCCTCACCATTTACCAGTTTATCTGGTCATCAAAATGGAAAGTTGGCAGCAATGTAGACACACGTACAGCATAAAACCTACCTGACTCTGGTAGGTTTGGAGAACCTAGTATTTGCTGGACTGTTCTAGATTAATGCTCCTGTAATTATGCTGAGAATACTGGAGCTGGTGAGAGCAAGGAAGGAGGGAGGGAGAAAAAAAAAAAAAAAGTCAATCTGTACAAACCCCCTCTTTATTTTACCCTTGCTCTAGAGGTATGCCATTTGTCACAAAAAAATGATCAAGAAATAAGATTTAACAATCCCAGTTATCATCAGGGACAAACACCATCACTGAAAGATCTAGATATATCTACAGCTGTTTATCAGATTGGATTTTTTTTTTCCCAGAGCCTCGTATTTGTAAAGATGGGCTTTCTGACCTTTTACTTCACAACAAAAGAAAGCGAGATTAATGGGTTTGCCTTCTTTTTTAAACTATTTCATTCACTCTGAGGGAAGATGGTAGCTTATATTAATTTGGGGAGTTTGGGTGGTCAAACAATCAAGAGTTCAAAGTGAAAATTTGGATTACTGTCAGCTTCATTGTCAAGGTGTTTATAGGTGGAACTAGTGCCTGATGAAAAGGAAGATCAAAATCAGAACCCACTGTTAAAAATGTGTTACCTCATTCATTAATGTCTTCCCTGAATCTACCAAAATACTTAAAAGGGAGGACTGAAGTTTGTCAAGAGAGACATAAGCATCTTGGCTTAAAGGGAGAGGAAACTGACATCGTGATTCTTCTTTGAAGGTCTCTTTGGCTGTTCCTGGAGTCAAGGCTTTTTCTAGTCACATTTATCGCTGTTACTGCTAAAAGAGTAGGCTGTGCACTGCAGTGTGAAACTCCTGTAGCTGATCACGTATAATGTGAGTTTGGGGAATTCCACATTGCAGTTCACATTATTTGCACAAGAGATGAGAATGTGGAGTATCCAAGTAATTACAGGCTAGTCTAGTAACACAGATTCCATCCCAGCGCAGCATAACTTGGGCGATGCTGATTGTCTTTGGAGGCGAAAGGAACAGGGCAAGAAGAAACAAGTTTTTGTAGCGTTTTTCCTTTTGCAGTCTGCACTTTCTTTTTCATACCATGACAGCTGGTATTTATAAGACTGAACAATATACTTAATCCTTAGTTTTAGTAACAAGAGAAATTAGGCCACAGGCCTAGATCCGATGATGATAAAATTGGGGAATTGAGGAGCTTGTATGACTGGGACATAGCAAATAGTCATAAGAATTTTTTTCTTCATCTATATTTGTAATGTAAACAAGGGCAAAATTACAACAGCTGGAATGCAGGCAAAATAACTGCCTTTGTTCTGATTTCCACCCATTTGAGAGAAGGGGGAGAGAAAATGGAAGCGAAAAACAGAAGCTGAACTAGTGAAAGCCTAAGTCAGAAGACATGAACTTTAAGGCTGGAAAAACTGATGCTACTTCCTCATATTTCTACTTTTCAATTATCTTTCCTGTGAAATGGCACCCTTGTAGTCCAACAAAGTACTTTACGTAAGTGTGTGATTAAGTGTTTAAGTGTGACACATTGAAAGCATGTCTAATAAATACCAATTTTGATGGTATGCCACCTATGACTTCTGTTTTAGCATTCTCGCCCTTTTGTAGGTTCTCTAGAGCTCCATCAACTCATACACCATTAAAAACATTGCCAAAACTTCACTTTTACTGATGTGAGGTACAGGGAGCCCTTTGCGACTTTTAGGTGATAGGTAATGCTCCTAGGGTTTGATATTGGGGAAAAAAAAGTTAAAATAAGAAAAAAGAAAACTTGACAGATATGATAGTGAAGTTGCTAAAATCCAGGATGCAGAGAATAGAGAACTAGTGAGGCTATTTTGTAGTCATTTTTGGAGTACAGGCACATGAAGGGCATTGCATCCAGCCAAAGGAGATAAGTCAGTGCTTTCCCACTCACTCCATCAAGCAGTACAGTGTATTACTCCTTTAACCTAAGAATGGGAATATGTTTTTGAGGCTAGCGTAGAGTTTCATAGTGTAAGAAAACTCATTGTGGTAGAAGATATTTTTGTAATATGAAAAGAAGTGCAAAACCTGCCAACATCTACCACCACAAGAAAAAACAACTCAGAGTAAATAACTGCTCTGAATAATATTGGAGTGAAGTCCTACTAAGAGCACGTCTGGACTGTCTCCCTCTCCCTAATGCAGATCTCTGTTCCCTTTCTGAGGTGGATGAGAGATGAATTAGATTTGCTGTATTTCCGCTTGGCCCCTGCAGCTCAGGCAGCCAAGGTGCTTTCCACAGGGACGGTCACCCAC